TGGGAATTTTTTGATACTCTTAAATAATTCCCAGATGTTAGGAAACACTTGGATAACTCGCTGTTTAATTCCCTTAACAAGACCAGTTAGGCGTTGGTTAATGTCCTCTTGAGTTAGCAACTCTTAGGTCTCTTGAGGTTATCTTGAGATGATTTCGGGGCTTAAGTGTCCCCGCGGCCCGGTCCTCGACCAGGCCTCCACCCCCAGGAAGCAGCCCGTGACAGCTGACTAACACCCAGGTACCTATTTTACTGCTAGGTAACAGGGGCACAGGGTGAAAGAAACTCTGCCCATTGTTTCTCGCCGGCGCCTGGGATCGAACCCAGGACCACAGGACCACAAGTCCAGCGTGCTGTCCGCTCGGCCGACCGGCTCCCTTCAATCAAAGAACAATCAAAGAACAAAAGAACAAAAGAACAATCAACCACAGAAGGTCTCTTGCTGTTGTGTTGAGCCTAGAAGACAGAACTTTCAGAAAGCTGTTAGTACTTTTACTCCAGGGATCAAAGATTTCTGAAGGTCTCTGAGGTGCGAAAGGTCTTTAGAGCGACAGGGAAAACATAGTACTGGTGATGCAGTTGTGTGTGCCACCTGCGTGAGAGCTCTCAGCGTTGTCAAGTGAATAACGCCACATGGTCTCGGTGTATTATCGAGACACACATTATAGCTGCTGGGTCTACGATGGGGCTGACCCCGGCTACATTACCTGTGGGCTTGAGATGGGACTGGTCAGAGTTAGGGCTGGGAGAGCAACCCACTCGGTGCTCCAGGGTGAAATACTGTCATCGTTTACCCTGGCCAAGTTGCCTAAACAAGTCCTAGAGGATTGCTTTTACTAGATCAAACTTCAGGTTTCACTAGTGACAAATATAGTGTTGGTGTTCACCGGAACAGAACAACGGGTGACTAATGTGGAACACAACCCACTCCAGGTCAGTTAACTTATATCTACCGCTCCTAACACTGTTTATATCACAGATTAATCAAATGAGAACTCAATCCCACAATAAATAATTAATTGATCATATCATTCTTGTGAAATTTCAGACAAAATGTAATTCACAATCCAATCATAATATATAAAATATTAAATATGATATTAAATATTTATATAACAATGGCAATATTATCGACTTTGCATGTTTGTACGCCTGAGGTGTTTTGTTTTATGTAGGCTCTCTTGTGGCTACCTTGTGTAGCTTCCGGGGATCAAGGGCCCCGCGGCCCGGTCTCAGACCAGGCCATCCATTTATCATCTGGTCGTGTTAGTACCGAAAGAGATCGTTCGCCTTTTGCTTATTGAAGATAAAATGAAGAAAATGTTTAACTGAATATGATAGGAGGGATCCTAGCCTCAGTATCTCATTACGTTAAGGGTCACTATTTGTTAATGGTGAGGGTAATATGCACGTTAAGAGACACTATTTGTTAATGGTGAGGGTAATATGCATGATAAGAGACATTATTTGTTAATGGTGAGGGTAATATGCATGATAAGAGACATTATTTGTTAATGGTGAGGGTAATATGCATGTTAAGAGACACTATTTGTTAATAGTGAGGGTAACGGATAATTCTTCTGCCACTGATGATGATCATTTTAGAATGATAAGTTTAGACTATCCAGGTTACATGTTTAACTGCAGGGAGATCCTCGCACCCCATCAATAACGGGAGAGAGGCGGCCCAATTGACCAAATTCATTAAAATTCGCAAATGATCCTCTTGAGGCGTGAAACTTCCTGATAACGCTGGACTAATGATTGGCAGACAATCACATCTCAATCACGAGACGGGAGATTGATCGTGAGACGAGAGTCATCAGACACGTCATCAATTACTACAAATATAAGTTACAAGAAGTGGCATAACGCGGGCCACGGGGGCCCAGGAGACCAAGCCCGACCAGTATTATACATAATTCGTTCATATATCATATCAGGTGCCGAGTACACTGCCTGTGTAGCTGAGGCGGATAGATTGGGTAGCTCTCTCTCTGTCTCTCTCTGTCTCTCTCTGTCTCTCTCTGTCTCTCTCTGTCTCTCTCTGTCTCTCTCTGTCTGTCTCTCTCTCTCTCTCTCTCTCTCTCTCTCTCTCTCTCTCTCTCTCTCTCTCTCTCTCTCTCTGTCTCTCTCTGTCTCTCTCTCTCTCTCTCTCTCTCTCTCTCTCTCTCTCTCTCTCTCTCTCTCTCTCTCTCTCTCTCTCTCTCTCTCTCTCTCTCTCTCTCTCTCTCTCACACACAGACACACACACATACACATTTTTGAAATACGGCAACAAAGTGTAAATCAATAAAGGGCGCGACTTTACATAACAACATGGCTAAACGAGCAATGAACGAGCACAGAAACGCTTATAAGAATTTTAAAGAGAGGTAAGATGCCAAGGATTATATTCCCTCACGGGCTGTCATCACACACCGTCTCTTATGACCGCCATCTTGCAGTCACATATTCATTTCTCGGTGGTGTGTAGCATTCATGATTCTCGTGTATATCCCTCAAGTCCATTTGCTCACCTATTTTGCATTGTCACTGCTTGAACTGCAGGCTGGTTTCTGTGAGTATTTTTTTCCTTTGTCTCTGAGAGTTGGTATGTTTCATATTTTTGTTGCTCTGTGTGAAGATCATGTAAAGTCTTGCTGGTATATCGCTTTTCCCGCCGTGTGTTCTTGACGTGTTGAAGAATTAAGAAGATTGATTTCTTCTTTTAAGAAGATTGTGGTCATTACTTCCAACAGCTTATAGCCATGTCTCACCCTGTCACAGAACTAGTGACAGGGGGGGAGATCTAAGCCCCTTCCTCCCTTGCCAGTTGCAGCTCTTGCCTGCATCAATAACCCCTTGCATGCAATCAGTAGGCAATTGCACGGTCATCGATCGTGTGCTTGCGGCTCCAGTTGAGACACGCGAGGCATCTATGAAGTAGTGCAGGGAGATCTGGATGCATTGGTGTCTCTGTGGGAGTCATCATTCTGGAGTGAATCACCAGAGAAGGACACCAACTGGGATTGTCCATCACCAGTCTGCATGATGGACGAAAAGGTTTCACGCTGCCTGAGACAGGAACTGACAAGCGACAAACAAAGCAGGCGAAAAAAACAGATCATTGTCAATTTCTTGGAGAGTAAATATATATATATATATATATATATATATATATATATATATATATACATCAGTGGCCTGGCTTATAGAGCTAAGTTGTGACGGCTTGTAGAGGCAAGTTGTGACGGCTTGTAGAGGCAAGTTGTGACGGCTTGTAGAGGCAAGTTGTGACGGCTTGTAGAGGCAAGTTGTGACGGCTTGTAGAGGCAAGTTGTGACGGCTTGTAGAGGTAATTTGTGACGGCTTGTAGACGCAAGTTGTGACACGCCGCAAGTGCACTACCACCACTGTACTCATCACTTGGCGGCTACCACAGCTGGTCTTTATGGACTGGTATCCGCACCAGAGGTTCCGTGACCAGAGTGCTGATGTGTGTGTGTGTGTGTTGACTTCAACTGTGGACGTGACACTGTTGAATGACCCTGCCTCGCCTCTCCCGCCCTCAGCTGCGGCTACTACACCGTTGCTCCTGCCGACCTCTACTTCCACACCTCCGTGTAACCTCCTAGTGGCTATAATGACTGGTACAGTGGTGTGTCGAGGGAGGTACGCTGAGTCCAGCTGTGTCAGTGATTATGAAGCCACTCAAATCAACACGGAATCATAACTCAGCTTCACTAGTGACTCACGTTGCTGAGTGATTGGCCCATTAACGTGTTTGGTGAGGACGCCGTGGCGAGGAATTCTCGCACCTCAGGTCAACTGACATAAAACCTCATCCAGTGCGTATGATATTTATATATATATCTGATCACTTCCGTCTCCTATTTTGCAAATTATTCCTATTGGCTGGCTGCATGACCGTCTAGGCGGCTCCGCCCAATCAGCAACATCACACCGTGACCCAGCAGCCAATCAGGATTTGTTTGCATAGTAAGTTAGTGTTTGAATGAACTATTGTCAAAGTATAGAAGACTTTTCTGATTATGACGCTCAGATTATAAGTCGGGTTTTCGACTTTTCGACTTTCGTGGAGTTTAATTCATTTCATACAAATATAATTTGTTCCTTCTATGAAATATCATTGGAAGTATAATTTAGATAAAATGCTTGTATAAGCGTATAATTTCCCTCCTAAAATATGCTCTTGGAATATATTTTCCCCCTGCTATAATTCTGATTTAAGAGGTTAATATTAGACACTAGCCTCCCCTCTGGCGTTTAGCGCTCGCTGGAACGCGTTCGTTACTGGTTCTCAGTTATTTGTACTCACTTTTGCAGTATTACTGAATGACGTTTAGGTTGGTGCAGTGAATGCCTTCGTTATTGTGATGGAAGATGTGTGTGCTCAGCTCAATGGTTCCAAGATTCTTTTAGCATTTTCTGAATAACTTGAACACAAAACAGATCACACTGTAAGCGCGCGCACACACACACACACACACACACACACACACACACACACACACACACACACACACACACACACACACACACATATACATAGCTCACATCATATACGCACCCACGCACATACTCAAACGAACATTCAAACACTAATATTCATATTAAACACCCACATACACACACATATATATACATAACATTGGGAGGTTTCAGCGGTCCTTCCCTTACTCAAGAGAGCTTCCGGCTTACCAGAGTGCTGGCTTTAATGTTCGCTTTATGCTTTATGTGGAAGCTAGCTGCGTTGAACACCTCTGTGCTCTATGTGGAAGCTGGCTGCGTTGAGCACCTCTGTGCTCTATGTGGAAGCTGGCTGCGTTGAGCACCTCTGTGCTCTATGTTACTCTATGTGGTGGCTGGCTGCGTTAAAAAGCTCTGGTATTTCTGATGGTACTTATCCCCAAGTTGTGATACCGGCCTCAGGCCAGGTATTATGGAACCCGCCAGGTGGTTCAGTCATGTTTTACCCGAACACGAACCGTCAATCGTTTAATATCCAGGTCCCCCAATAATAGTTTGGTGCACAAAGGCGAACGTTCTAATTGGAGAAAGTTTGGCCAGACGTCTCACCCGGACCACAATGGGACGATTGGTGGGCGGCGGCGCTGAGAACTCCGGCGATCTCTGCTGTGGGCGGCGGTGTTGAGAACTCCGGCGATCTCTGCTGTGGGCGGCGGTGTTGAGAACTCCGGCGATCTCTGCTGTGGGCGGCGGTGTTGAGAACTCCAGCGATCTCTGCTGTGGGCGGCGGTGTTGAGAACTCCAGCGATCTCTGCTGTGGGCGGCGGTGTTGAGAACTCCGGCGATCTCTGCTGTGGGCGGCGGTGTTGAGAACTCCGGCGATCTCTGCTGTGGGCGGCGGTGTTGAGAACTCCAGCGATCTCTGCTGTGGGCGGCGGTGTTGAGAACTCCAGCGATCTCTGCTGTGGGCGGCGGTGTTGAGAACTCCGGCGATCTCTGCTGTGGGCGGCGGTGTTGAGAACTCCAGCGATCTCTGCTGTGGGCGGCGGTGTTGAGAACTCCGGCGATCTCTGCTGTGGGCGGCGGTGTTGAGAACTCCGGCGATCTCTGCTGTGAGCGGCGGTGTTGAGAACTCCAGCGATCTCTGCTGTGGGCGGCGGTGTTGAGAACTCCGGCGATCTCTGCTGTGGGCGGCGGTGTTGAGAACTCCGGCGATCTCTGCTGTGGGCGGCGGTGTTGAGAACTCCAGCGATCTCTGCTGTGGGCGGCGGTGTTGAGAACTCCGGCGATCTCTGCTGTGGGCGGCGGTGTTGAGAACTCCGGCGATCTCTGCTGTGGGCGGCGGTGTTGAGAACTCCGGCGATCTCTGCTGTGGGCGGCGGTGTTGAGAACTCCGGCGATCTCTGCTGTGGGCGGCGGTGTTGAGAACTCCGGCGATCTCTGCTGTGGGCGGCGGTGTTGAGAACTCCGGCGATCTCTGCTGTGGGCGGCGGTGTTGAGAACTCCGGCGATCTCTGCTGTGGGCGGCGGTGTTGAGAACTCCGGCGATCTCTGCTGTGGGCGGCGGTGTTGAGAACTCCGGCGATCTCTGCTGTGGGCGGCGGTGTTGAGAACTCCGGCGATCTCTGCTGTGGGCGGCGGTGTTGAGAACTCCGGCGATCTCTGCTGTGGGCGGCGGTGTTGAGAACTCCGGCGATCTCTGCTGTGGGCGGCGGTGTTGAGAACTCCGGCGATCTCTGCTGTGGGCGGCGGTGTTGAGAACTCCGGCGATCTCTGCTGTGGGCGGCGGTGTTGAGAACTCCGGCGATCTCTGCTGTGGGCGGCGGTGTTGAGAACTCCGGCGATCTCTGCTGTGGGCGGCGGTGTTGAGAACTCCGGCGATCTCTGCTGTGGGCGGCGGTGTTGAGAACTCCGGCGATCTCTGCTGTGGGCGGCGGTGTTGAGAACTCCGGCGATCTCTGCTGTGGGCGGCGGTGTTGAGAACTCCGGCGATCTCTGCTGTGGGCGGCGGTGTTGAGAACTCCGGCGATCTCTGCTGTGGGCGGCGGTGTTGAGAACTCCGGCGATCTCTGCTGTGGGCGGCGGTGTTGAGAACTCCGGCGATCTCTGCTGTGGGCGGCGGTGTTGAGAACTCCGGCGATCTCTGCTGTGGGCGGCGGTGTTGAGAACTCCGGCGATCTCTGCTGTGGGCGGCGGTGTTGAGAACTCCGGCGATCTCTGCTGTGGGCGGCGGTGTTGAGAACTCCGGCGATCTCTGCTGTGGGCGGCGGTGTTGAGAACTCCGGCGATCTCTGCTGTGGGCGGCGGTGTTGAGAACTCCGGCGATCTCTGCTGTGGGCGGCGGTGTTGAGAACTCCGGCGATCTCTGCTGTGGGCGGCGGTGTTGAGAACTCCGGCGATCTCTGCTGTGGGCGGCGGTGTTGAGAACTCCGGCGATCTCTGCTGTGGGCGGCGGTGTTGAGAACTCCGGCGATCTCTGCTGTGGGCGGCGGTGTTGAGAACTCCGGCGATCTCTGCTGTGGGCGGCGGTGTTGAGAACTCCGGCGATCTCTGCTGTGGGCGGCGGTGTTGAGAACTCCGGCGATCTCTGCTGTGGGCGGCGGTGTTGAGAACTCCGGCGATCTCTGCTGTGGGCGGCGGTGTTGAGAACTCCGGCGATCTCTGCTGTGGGCGGCGGTGTTGAGAACTCCGGCGATCTCTGCTGTGGGCGGCGGTGTTGAGAACTCCGGCGATCTCTGCTGTGGGCGGCGGTGTTGAGAACTCCGGCGATCTCTGCTGTGGGCGGCGGTGTTGAGAACTCCGGCGATCTCTGCTGTGGGCGGCGGTGTTGAGAACTCCGGCGATCTCTGTTGGTCCAGTTGATGACTGAGCGTTGGCATGGTGGGGAGCAGGAGGGGGCGAGGTATGCCCCTTGCGGTCACTCAGTGCCTGACACCCGTGTGCACACAGCCCTGGGGGGGAGGGGAAGCCTCCCACAATAAAGATACAGAAAAAGATAGACCATACGGCTGGTCAAGGGAGACAGAAG